CCCCCCCCCCCCCGGCCTCTATCCTCACTGCTGTTCTCACTCTTGCTTCCAGCCCTCAGAGCATAAGTGCTGGTTGTCGTATCCGCGTCCCTCGAAGCACGAGTGCTCGTTACGTGCCGTCGTCTTCTCCGTAGGCAAGTCTTTTTTTCCCTGCGTATGGCATTATTTTTACCAGAAAGTTTGATTTTGAAGTTTACTTTAAAATCACGTGTTCGGTTTATTTTTTCAGATGTCACTTGACATGTGCTTTCATGTCACGAGTTTCTGAAATTGTGAGAAAGGTGGCACGGCCAAGTTTCGTTTGTTCCCACTCACCCACCCGGGGGTGCGGGATGTGCCGCATTCACTTGTTTGGATGTCCAAGCTAACATAGAGCTCAGTCTGCATGTGAGTTTACTGGAATGTATATTTGATTATCAAGATTGAAATCAAAATTGTATGTTGCTTGATTTCTCATTCTTTGTACCATATCGACTGAAGCTTTGAGATAAAGCTTTGGCAGTTTATCGATTGAAGCTTTGATAAAGCTTTGGCAGCTGTGATATTTGTTTGTCGAGCCATAACTTTCCCGGTGAAAATAAAAAAGATTGCGAGTCTGAGTGCGCCTGTCATCATTTCATACGAAACATGTTGGAGTGACGAATTGAGATGTATCTCTATGTTTCATTTTTTATATATAGATTGATGCGACACCAGTTTGACGCATAGAGGGAAAATGAGACGTAACTCCACGCACAGCGGATGAAGCTTTATTTTTCCTGTGTCAAGAATTTTTGTTTGTCAAACAACCAAAAAATTAGGGTGTGATTTTTCCGTTTAGCTTTTCACAAAGTGCACATGTCAGTACATGTTTGTGAGCGAGTGCTCAAATCTATGATGCTCGTTGAGTTGGCTCCACAGGGTGGTGGGTGNNTGGGTAAGAAAAATTTCCGGCATAAGTCCGGGAAAAGTTTTTGTCCCGCCTAACTCGCCCCCTTTTGTCTTGTGCACAAGTGGTGCCACGAAAGTTCCGTGTTGTGCAACTGGCACAGTTGTTCATGCATACTTGTCCAGATTCTTTTGACAGCTGTGATATGAATTACAACAAAGAAAAGCGTCTTTGGCCCGAGCCCAGGGCAAGGCACTTCGATGCCCCTTTTCTCAAGAAAAAAAGATTGCGAGTCCGAGTGCGCCTGTCATCATTTCATACGAAACATGTTGGAGTGATGAATTGAGATGTGTTTCTATGTTTCAGTCTTTATATATAGATTGATGCGACACCCGTTTGACACAGAGAGGGAAAATAGAAGAGGACTCCACGGTCCAGGAAGCCCTCGAACGAGGACGTTTCCCTTGTGAACAATGCTGCGGAGATGACCGCGTGATCCTCTCCGACCTGAACGCAAGTACTTTGAGCAGCAGCCTCGGCGAAAGCGCCGATAGTTCAGTTTGCGGATCAAGAGCCGAGAACAGAGGGGGGGCATGTTAGTGTAAATTTGCCCCTAGGAGTGTGCAGCTTTGTGTGCATTTGTTTGTGCAGTCAGACATGAGAGCTGGAATCTATGGCCCCTGCGCAAGGACGACAGAAGATTGTGTGGACACTGAAACCCTTTGCTGGAAAGAAAAGGAGTGAAATTTCAGACGGAAAGTTTTAGCGGGGAGTGGCTTTTTCGTTGTTGGCACGATTTTGAAACTTTGCAATGCCGTGGCCTTACATATTGGCTTTCGTGAACATTTACATTTGGCGTCTGCGAATGGAGGAACAAACATGCACAAATTCAGCATTTTTTGTGGAGGTTGTGATTCCAGCGTGCTGAAAATGTCGCGTCCATACACTCGTAGAAGCATCTGTCTTCTGCTGACGCGAGGAGACGAGATTTCAACTTGTGCTTTCAGATATGTAAGATGTGCTTCACACTAACGTGTTGCGTGAAGATGTTCGCGCGATTCACGACAAAACACAAGATGGAAATTGAAAAGGGGGTGTGATGTGAATGTGTGATTATTCTTCGGCTCAAGTCAAGCAGCGATTTTTGGAAATATGCGGCGCAGCCATATGGCTCTTGAAAGGTAGCAGAAGCTCCGATATGCATGTTTTTGACACGGAGTGCTAGCTGAGGTTGTCAACACACGCGTATGTGGACATGAGGCAGACATGCATGAACACCTTGTGAGCGGTTTGTCCTGGCGACAGCTGCATACGCCGCGGTGCCACAGAAGTAGTCCAGGTACCTCCGTTGTTCAGCCTAGAATCAGCATCAACCTACATCCGGATGTGATTAAATGATATGTTTTCCATCACGTGCACAGGAGATGCCATGCCAAAGAAGAACAAGAAGCAGGCAAGGCCTTTTATGCAGCGTTCCGGCCTGTGCTTGCACGTAGGTCAATCAGCTCGATCTGTACTGATCGTTCAATTCTGTTGCATAGTTCGAGAATCTGGTATTCTCGGCTTTGTTCGGCTCAATCATAAGGACGAGCTCAGGCGAGACAATTTGTGGTGTGTTCATGTGTTGGCTGTAAATTTCGTCATCGACAGCAACATGCAGCGGTGCCTATGCACTTGGTGACATCCACGTCCAGGCGCGGAAGCCTGCAATAAAGCCGTGGGAATCGTGCAGTGACTTGCTCGTGGTGTTGTGGCTTTGTTCAATGGAGACATGTGTTTCTTGTGCTGATCTCGGCTCGAGGAGGATAGATTTCTCTTGTGCATTCGTTTGGCTTTGTTTGGTGGTGTATCAGTCAGCCATGGCGCGTCATCTCCTCCTACTTGTTGGTGTGCCTTTCCCTGCAAAGAGCTTGACCTGTGGGCAGGGTAATGATGGGAGTTTCCCATAATAAGGGGTACCTTAATTTGGGGTCCTTATCATAAGGATCCTACTATTTAGGGTGGCTCCCCTATTTTTCGGAAGCCCCCCCATGTAGTTCGAGAATACGGGCCTTAAAACGCCGCTAGCTCCTGCGCTCGGAAGGGTGGTGACTTGTTCATCTCAGGCGTGTCTCTGCGCGTATCTGCTCCTGGTGCCTTGGTGTCTGTGAGTTGTCTACCCAAAGAGCCCGATACCCCTTAAAAAAAGGAATATAATTACCTTAAATTATAGGGGCCTGACTATTAGGATTTACGGCATATTCCTTAATTAAGGGGTATTGGGCTCTCTGGGTAGCCTAGTGTCAAGTCAGCTAGCAGAAGGGGTTCTCGAATGAAGTCTTGTGCCTGAGAACATCCTCTCCGAATGAGGCTCCGCTGGCTTTCCTTGGAAGTTCAGCGCCAACTCGGTCGCAAAGCACACGCGGAGACGTGGCTGTCTACGGACGGCATGGCAAGAGGCAGGTCGCAGGTGTTTTCATCGACTTTGTAGGACCCCTTCCGTCTCCTGAAGAGCAGTTCATGGCACGGTGCTTGGGTCTCAGGGGCGCTGGTGGCCCCCGCCACAAGAAAGTGCCGGCGGACATTGAGTTCGAGTACATCCCGTACAAGCGACAGGGAAAGAAGATGGCTCCTTGGAGCGAATCTTGAGGCTTGGCTGTAGCATTGCAGTGATCCGAACGTGCTCAGGACAAGAAGAAAGCTCGCTGAGAGCTAACTTCTGGTGATCCGCGAAAGCCGGATGTCTCAAGGATGGCCTTCACGTTTGCATGAGTTGCTAGGCATCAACTCAGAGGTTCCTGCTAGCCTCTTTGCTGTTTCATGTCCTGCCCCGGAGCCTCGAGCCCTTGAGACCGGCTGGAAGACAGGAGTTTTCAGGTAGCCGCTGTGCTGTCTCAGAGCAGAAAAAGACGTGGAGCTTGCTTAGCCTTGCAGCACTGCGACATGTACATGGTTTCACGGCACTCAGCGCGCGAAATCTTCCCTTGCAGCTCTGGGAACAGGCAGTCACCGCAGCGGGGACGAACACACTCTGACTTCTCCTTCGTTTCACCGTCGCCCGAGTTTCAATCAGATGTCTTGGTCTCTGAGACTGCAAGCTGCTCTCTCGAAAGTTCCAACAACAGGTCTCTTGACCTGCCAGTGCCGAAAAGCGTCCTGTCCGCAAGGACTGTCCGCGTTTAGGTTGGCAGATGTTGCCAGGTCAGGTCTACTGCCATCAAGTCGAAGAATGATACACAAGACGTCAGCTCCTTTGGAGGACTGTCCATGTTTTGATGCATCAGCACCGAAAATCAGATCTAGAAGCCGGGTCCCGAGCCAGGAGACTTTCCGGGTTTGCCGCCACCTGCGACGGGTCAGAAGGGCCTCGTGAACCTTGGTCGACCCAGCCTGTCTTGCTAGAAGGTCCAGTGAGCAGCAGGTGGCCGGAAGTGAAAGAACTCTGGATCGCTGCCGGAGTCGTCGGTGCACTCAGCCAAGATACGCAAGCTCCCGATCAGGAAACACCTGCTACTTGAACAGCGTTCTGTGCAAGCCTCAGCTGTAAAGCATCATCCACGTGCACTCTGATGTCGGAGAGCACGGGCATCAGCTGTCCCGCCCATGTCGCCGGAGGCAGTGCCTCAGCGTCTCGAAGCCGTTCAGCGACAACCTTGTCACACTCTCTCAGGAAGGCCAGCCCGACGGTTTTAAAGCTCCAAAGCATCTCCGGCCCCATCTTTCGGACTTTACCCCTAAACCCTAAACCCTAAACCCGAAACCTTAAACCTTAAACCCTAAAGGCCCTAAACCCCTCACATCCCGTCACAAGAGGCACTTGAGCTCGAAGCCAGGCCTGGGAGGTGTTGGGGCCTCGCTTTGCTCGGTCTTCCAGGGCCTCAGAGGCAACGGCAACCAGGGCAAGGCCAAGGCTCGGCCGGGGTTGAGGGTTTAGGGTTTTGCAGGTTTAGGGGTTTAGGGGGTTTTGCAGGTTTAGGGTTTTAGGGTTTAGGGTTTAGGATTTAGGCCGGAATTCGATTTGGTGCTTTGGAGATTTCGCTGCTCGGGCTCTTCAGTGCAGGGCGGCGGCAACGGCGCCTTCTCGCCAAAGCAGCTGCGGAGCCGGCTTTCATTGATGATCGCTGGCAGCGGCGGCTCTACTTTTTTTTTCATACCTGGCAGCACCTCGAGGGAGGAATTTTGATGATGTTTCTTGACCTGTTGGCCTGGGAGCCTGGCTTTAAGAGCTGAGCTCGTCTGCTGCTCTTCTTCCTGGGGGAACGCTTTCTGAAGCAGTGGAGTCATCGGTACGTGCGCCGGGTTTGGTCATTCGGCAGGCTGGCACAGATTTGCTCCAAGTTTCCTTGGTACAAAGGGCACGATCAGCAGGACATCCTGCAAGTGGTTGTTTGTCTTCCGCGTGACAGCGGGCACAGCTGAAAGCTGCAAGGATTGCCATGAGCTCCTACGCACACTGCTGGGCCTGCGACCCGGTCAGCTCGAGGAGTTGGCGCGCTGTGCAGGGGATTGCAGTGCCCTGAAAGGCTCAGTGGCAGACGAGTCCTGGCCCCAGTCACCCCCGAGTGGCTCCGCTCTCGCCTGCTTTGTAGCGCTGTTGCCTCATTTGCTGTTCGCCTGACGCATCCGCCTTGGCCCTCGATTCGGTCATGGGCCAAAGGGCAGAGCAGGTTTAGACGTGACGGCAAGCGGACTCCAGCGCTGGATCAGGCCCACGGCCACGGAGAAGAAGCACAAGAAGGAGGGTGGAGCGCATGTCACTGGCTCGGGTGATGGTGCACACAGGAGCCAACCCTTTTTGCAGAAGTTTCCCCACCGAGATCCCTTGTGGCGAAGCAGAGAAGCTGGTCTGGCAGAGCTTCCGCGGGTCGGGACCCTGGGGCTCCCCGGCCCTTTGTAGCGGGAATTTGGGCTCTTTTAAAGACCGCTCTGAGGCACACCTGTGCAGCCGTGCTTTGTTGGAAGTGCCACCGGATCTCGGTAAGGCGGGGACTCCTTGCTTGCGCCCCCCTTTTCTTTCTGAAACCTTTGAGCTGCGCACAAAATGGGATCTCCCCCGCAGGGTCGATCCGTTCCTTGATCTTTCTGTGGAGCTGCCGACCTGCGAGGCACCCGGCTCCGGGCACTTTCTAGAACTGAAATAAGCCGGGGTTCCTCTCACCGATGCTTTTCGGCGATGTTCCTGCAGCGCCTCCCGTTCTGAATCTATATCCAAGAAGCAGAGCGCCGCATTCTATCTCGAAGTTGCAGATGTGAGCATGGCCTTCTAAGTCGTTTGGTTGCTTTGGTGCTTTTTAGTGCCTCTTGGACCTCTTCCCCCGTGATTTTTCATGTGACAGACAGATGTGCGGTTGTGTTGCTTGTGCTCAACGCGCGGGAAACTTGCATTTTTCTGCAGGAGCAGCCTGGGCTTCTAGGTCTTCCTGGCCGAATCGCACAGCTGGCTGGGAGCCCAAACACATCGTGCACGGGTCTTGGTGTCGGAGACCAAGCTCGGCGGCGTTTTTTTTTTCAAGGAGGTCGGTGGCAGCTCTTCCTCGACAGCCAGACCCACGAAATCCAAGGGCCGGAAGGGTGCAGACCTCGGCGCTGTGCTGCCGCAAGGAACATCAGGGCTCCTTGCCCCAGGCGGCACACCGGCCGACGCCGACAACGCCGCAGACGCGGACGTCGACCCTCAGTCGGAGGCCTCGGCCAAGAGTGGCGTGCGGAGCCGGAAGGATATCACCAAGAAGGGATCAGCGGTGGCTTGAGGGATAAGTGCGATCCGCGCTGTTCTCACATTGTTAACGGTGGTTGGTCTTCGAATCCTTCAAGAAAATATGTGGCTGTGGCTTCGCAGCTTGACGCCAGGCTGTGCAGCCGGCAGTTACCTCGCAGGCCCAAGGCCAGTCGCTCTCGCTGTGTCTCTCTCTCTCTCT